TGGGATGGACCACAAAGCAAGGCAATACAAAGCCATACAATATGGCCATAGTGTACCCACTTTCATTTATTGATACTTAATTGAAAAATATCTATCAAAAAAGGTCAATTATGCAATGAGTTTTGGCTTCCATACAAAAGTACAATTCTCACTGTCAGTCTCTGATTTTAGACCATACAATTACATGAAGGGTACATAAAATTTGATGAAAAATAAATCTCAACTCTAGCATAAGAATATAAGAATCACCTTTTTCTCATAAAGAGAGAGAGAGAGAGAGAGAGAGAGAGAGAGAGAGAGAGATTGATGTGCATAATGCAATTGAAAAGCACAACCCTTGTAGTTGTTGGAGAATAATCCCTACATCTAACCTCAACACCAAAAATGGGTTTAACTAAGCAATATCACATAAGTTGCAAAATCATCTCCCAAATTTTAGTTAAAATTATAAAACATGAGATTTTTTTTTTTTTAAAAAAAAAAAGATTGAATCACAAGGTTATACATATTTTTTTAATAACTAATCTACAAAAAATCTATAAGTGACATTTGCTGTCTATGAGTAGCATGCAAGCCATGTGAAATGTTTTAAAAGGCCAGAGGGATGGAATATAAGAGTAGAAAATATTAAAAATAATAGTCTCTCAACATTAATTCCAGAAAATAGTCACACCAGCAAGCAAGTATTTGGACTTTACAAACAAATCCAAAACAAGAACTCATAATGATTCAACTAAAACTCAAGCAACCTGAATCAAAACCCCATGTGCTAAACCATATGCAAAGCTTACACAATAATTTCAAAACCTCATCAAAATTTTGCCCATGTGCATTAACCATTTGAATCGATAACACATCAAAAACTTCTTCCCGTTTCCATCAAATCCTTATTCACAATTATTATAAACCGCACATACGGAAAGATCAATAACCATGCTCATGCATCGATAGGTACAGAGAATACATTATCTATATACAACAAGGAAAGTCCAAATCAAACAAACAAAGCTTACCTCATAGTCTCCACAGACCAAAAAGGGAAAGGAAAAGAACCGAACCAAGATCACTTAGAATTTACAGAAAAAGACAGCCGATCGATCAAGCTGTGTGCGTGAGATTAAGGGACCTGTTCAGCCTCTCGAGAATCCCGGTGGCCTTCCTCTTAGCCCTCGATGTCCCATTCCTCGCAAGCCGTGAAATCGTCTGGTTCAGATTCTCTTCCTCCCTAACCTCCTTCAGCTTCGACCGATCACTGAAACAAATCGTGTACAAAATCGCCACACAGTTCTCCTGGTTCCTAGCGCACGATGTTTCCCTGATAATCCCGAGCAAGCAAGAGACCCCACCGAGCTCTCCCAATTCCTCCACTGCCTTCTGATTGGTCGAGAGCATTGCGAGTATGGACAGCAGCTCATCCACATGGGTCCCACCTGAGATCTTATCAAGAATCACTGGCACTGCCCTGTCCCTAACTGCCCTCACCTTATTCTCATGAATTATGCACAAGTTGAAAATAGCCGAGGCCACATCCTTCATGGCCAAAGGGTGACCCTCGTCCAAGAGCTCGATCAAGGGTTTTAAGGCGCCTGATTTACCGACGAGGGCCTTATTTGAGTCGAGAGCCGATAGAGTGAAAAGGGCAGCTGCTGCATTCGAGCGCGTCTCGATCGAGCACGTCTTTTTCAGCGCGTCTATCAAGAAATCGATCACCATGGGAGTTTCGGCCACGAGCTTCTTGTTGTCATCGTGAATCGAGATATTTAGAAGGGTCGTGATTATGTCTTCTTGGAGGTGGTCCAGGTGGACCCCGTTTTTCTGAGAAAGAGGGGATACTAGCTTGGGTATGGAATTGTGATATTCGCCGAAAAGGGCCCGGAAAGCTGGGTTCGATTTCGTCAGGAGGCGTAGTTGTTTGGCAGCTTCTTTCTGTTCGGATGATGTGGACATTTTGTCGAGTAGGGATTGGAAAAGGTCACGTTCAGCTTGTGTCAGGCTGTCCTCGTTGGCGTATTGGATCGGGTCGGGTAAATTGATGCCGTTGCTTTTGCAATACTGTGCAATCATGTCGCGAATGAGGTGGTTTGGTGTGAGGATGGTGTGTGAGAGGACTTGCTCGGTTTTTGGGCATGTTCTGTTCCCGGCTTTTAGCCATTTTTGAATGAAGGGCCGGTCGAAAGTCTGTGGAGATTGTGAAGAAGAATGAAAAGCATGAGAAGTCGAAAATGATGATATAACAAGTGTTCTGCAAAAAGTTCACGAAATCAATGGCATGATTTCATATTCAATATAACCGACTCGAAACACAATTTCTCGAACAAACAAGAGATATAATGACAGCAGTGAACTAGAGTGGAGGGGGGTTCATCAAGATGATCTTAGCAACTAAATAAAGGGCAAAATTCAGATGAGAAGAAAACAGAAACGGAATTTCCCCAGAAAACATAGAATACAACCAAATCATTCAAAAGAAAGAAAACTGAGGATTCAACTAAAATATATAACCTTAAAACAAAGGACCAGGATGAAGGAAAACAGAAGTCCATTGATCAACAAGATTGCTCAGACGAAGCAAGACATCATAAATTTTGGAGCACCATTAGTTAGAATTCAATCAACCTCTTTAAGTACCCATCAGCCAACCATCACTTAAAAAAAAAATAATAAAAAAATTGCTATAAGATCTTGTTTCCAGCAATCAATATCTGAAGCTCGAGGACAGAACTATAAAATCAATGTTCACCAACCACACAAAATTCCATATCCATCAACAAGAATTCTCACAATTCCAACCAAAACCCAGTTCAGCCCATTATAATATAACATAAACATAAACAGGAAAGCACCTAAAGCAGATAATGTCAATAAAAAAAGAAAAAGGAGAAAATAAACCTGTCCGGTGGCAATAATCACGGGATCCCTCATGAGCTCCTTCGAAAGTGGGCATACGAACTCCTCCGGCGCCGCCGAGTAATCCATCTCCCGATCACATTGACGGCCTCTCAGCTTCACGGATGAAGCTCTCTTCAATTTCAATTCCCTCATCGCCGTAAGCATCTGGTGGGCCCTATCGACCGCCTCCAAATTGACGTCTTCCTCGTCCACAATCGCCCTCACCAGCTTCTGCAACTCCTTCTTCAGCTCCGCCGCCCTCGCCGCCGCTGGATCCCCTTCAAACACGCCGCTCTTCGCCATAACCGTTTCGTCTCTTTCCTCCCAATCACCCAACAGCACAAAAATACACTGCTACTGCAATTACGCCACACATATCCTGATGGGAGGTTTTCCTTCAAACTTTTTCTGGCCTGCAATTTTTTGTTCTCTTTTTTTTTTTCTCAATTTTATTTTTTTCTCCGGCGACTGAGAAAGTGTTCGAGGAAGGGACGCAATATACAGTGCAGTTGAGTTTTTTAAGTGAGAGTGTGTGCGAGTGTGTGTGTGGGTCCCACAAATAAGGTGATCTGTGACCGGCCAGCTGGCGGGCTACGCGGACGGGATGTGTGAGGGTTACGCATGCATAAAATCCACCATAACACGGTAATATACACAAATATTTATGTTTATTTTATAAGATAATTAACCAATAAGCTAGCTTGTAGTTTATTTAATTAGCTTATAAGCTCTCGGTATTCAAATAAGTCTCGTTTGTTAGAACGAGCTTTTTTAAAAAGTTCGAGCTTATTTGATAAGCTTCCTTAAGTAGTTTTTCAAATAAGCTAGTTGAATTTTTTGTTCTAGCTAGCTTATCAGCTAATTTTACCAAATATTTTTATCATATAAATTAGCTTATCAACTATAAATTATAAGCTATAAGCTATAAGCTAAAAAATTACTGATAAGCTATAAAATAGCTTATCAGCTATCAGCTAGCTTATCAGTTAGTTTTACCAAACATAGCCATTGAACATGTTTG